TTGTTTGCTTTTGCTTTTTTAATTTTTTTGATAATCCACTTGAAGCCTTAACTATCATATATAATTGTGAATCACATCAATATAATTTTATTCTTCTTCCCCTGTCAAGCCTTGAGAGGCACTCCTTTAATTTGCCAATTTCATATGCCATATGTTTTTTTAAATTAAATTAAGCGCGTTTTTTTATCAAGAAAAATGAAGCCCTTGCAAGCGTAACACAGGACGAACAGAGTGTTTAGAGATTATTAATTACTTGGGGTCAATTATTGGGAATGTGTTTCAAGAAGGCTGTGCTAGTTTTGAAGGAGGTTTGATTCTTCCATGACAAATTACAACTATGTTTCATCAGCACGTTAATTAAGTCATTCTTTTACTATTTATTTTTATGTTTTAAAAATATTTTTGAAAGATTTTGAATTTTTTTATATTTTTATATAATTTTAATGCATTAATATAAAAAAATTATTTTAATATATTTTTAAGTGAGAAACATTTTAAAAAACAACCACAACCATTATTCTAAATACTCTTTATATATAATAGTTTAATAAATAACCCGGTAAGACCGGGGTCGAAACACATGGAGGTTAATTATACAAATTATAAACAATAATTATAAGCAACAACAATAATAATAGTAGCAATAATAATACTAATAATAGTAGTAGTAGTAGTAGTAGTAATAGTAAAAATAATAATTATAATAATAATAAAGGAAAAGAACAAGAACAAGAACAATAAAAAGAAAAGTTGATGAGAACTTTGAGATGAAAGATTAACATAAGGATTAAACAATGATAATAATAAACGTCAAGGTTAGAGAATCCACTAATGGTATGTCAAACAAGTATAGTATAAACTCTTATTATTCAATTGGAAACCACATACAAAGGAGGTTCCAATCAGATTATAGATTGTTAACATGATTACATTAGTCATCTTATTCGATTAATGCTAATACTTGTAAATCTCGTCAAGCATTCATGATTATAACTTATGTTAACAACAAATCAAGTTCCTTTCATAGCTCAACTCGATTATACCATACAGTATGGGCTATGAGAGTGCCAAGTATTTATTGTACCAAGTGTTATATAACATAAATCAAGATTAGTCATTTAACAAGGAAAGTATTAAAGAGTAAACAAGATTACAAATACAAAACATGTTAGTATCAAACATTAAAGTCCATATTAAGTTTACATTATACTTATTCTTACACCATTAGTGTAACTTTTTCACCTTGACACAATAAACTTAACTAAACATAATGAAAGAAAGAAAAATAAATAAATAAAATAAGAACATAAATAAGATAAAGGTTAACTAAGTAAATGAAAGGAAATGAAAGGCATAAACTTGATATTAATGAAAGCAAAGCATAAAAATTATAAAAAGTACAAAGAGAGAAAGCAAGAGCTTGATTTTGATCTCGAAACCAAGATGCCTAAATGCATGGGAAATGCCTCCTTTTATAGGCCAAAATTGGGAACTATTGATTTGATAACTAATTGATGAGTGGGTGGCCAACTCTTGACTTGGTGACAATCCTTATCTTCTATTGTCTGCCTAAAAAGTCATTAATAACATAAAAATTGAAACCACTTGAAAACCTGAAAGTTGTAGGAAATTGTCTCAGCTTTTTTGTGTAAAAACTTGAGGTCGTTTGGACTTCTAGAACTCCAGATATGAGCCAAATACTGAACAGTGCTTGGGCTAGAAGATAGATTCAAACTTCTTTGTTATTGCTATAATTTGGATTTAAAAATGGCCTTTCTAAGTCTTGGGCTTCATATGAAAGTTATAGGCCTATGTCTTACCTTTCCATCCATATAAAGTAGACCTAAATCTAAGATTTATAGCTCTAGATGTGACCTAATTACCAAACAGTGTTTCGATTTGGATTGCACTAACATCTCTTTTTTAAGTTTGGCCATCTCTTTGTCCTTTCAATTTTAGTTCTTAAATTCATCAATCAATCCTTTCATTTATGTGATAGGCCTGCATTTAAAATGAACATTTATCACAAATTAAAGGTATCTTATATTATTAGATATATTATTATAAAACATGCTTTAGTTAAGGAGTTATTGATACTTCAAGTGCAAAAATGATGACATAAAACCTTGATAAAAATGCACTTTCAAGTACTAATCAGTATGTATCACATACTATTGAAGGACAATGCAAACCAATAAGGTAAATGCAAAGTAGGTTGAACCCGCCTATGATGTAGGTAGTGAAAGCTGAAATTTTAAAACTGTTAGATGTAGGTGTGATTTATGCCATCATGGACAGTAAATGGGTGACGCTAATCCATGTGGGGCCTAAAAAGACCAGAATCAAGTTGGTAAAAAACAAAAATGATGAGCTCATTCCTACTCACATCTCGAGTGGATGGAGAATATGTGTTGATTATAGAAAGCTAAATCTTACTACATGCAAAGATCATTTCTCATTACCATTAATAAACCAAATGCTTGAATGCCTGACAGGTAAGTCTTTTTATTGCTTTCTTAATGGATATAATGGATACAATCAGATTATTATTAATCCTAAAGATCAAGAAAAGACTACATTTATATATCCATTTGGTACATATGCATATAGGAGAATGCCCTTTGGTCTTTGTAATGCACCTACAACTTTTCAAAAATACATGATAAGTATTTTTTTATTATTATATTGAAACAATAATTAAGGTTTTCATTGATGATTTCATAGTAAATGGTGATTCTTTTGATAAGTGTTTAGAAAATTTATCTATGATCTTGAAAAGGTGCATTAAAACTAACCTTGTCTTGAACTATGAAAAGTGTTATTTTATGGTAAAACAAGGAATAGTTCTTGGGCATGTTGTGTCTTCACATGGATTAGAGATTGATAAAGCTAAAATAGACGTTATTTCATGATTGCCCAATCCCTCATGTTTGAGGGAAGTTCGTTCTTTTCTAAGTCATGTAGGTTTCTATCGATGCTTTATTAAAGATTTCTTGAAGATTATAACACCTTTGTACAAACTATTAGCCAAAAAAGTGGATTTTATGTTTGATCAGCATGTAAAGATGCCCATGATGAGCTTAAAAGGCATGTCACATCTACCCCTATCATCCAACCACCAAATTGGGATGAACCTTTTGCGATAATATGTTATGCGAGTGACTATGCAGTAAGGGCTATTCTTGGGTAAAGAATAAGGAAGAATTTGCATGTTAACGCCTATGCTTCCCTATGTTTCCCTCATGTTGGACGGAGCGCAATTCAATTACCATAAAACTAAAAAGGAATTTTTACAGAGGTGTTTGCTCTTGAAAAATTCAGGTCATAACTACTCGGTACAAAAGTCATTGTTTTTACTGACCATGTAGCTATAAGGTATCTTTTAAAGAAAAAGGAGTCCAAACCAAGATTGATTAGGTGGATCTTACTTTTACAAGAATTTGATCTTGAGAACAAAGACAAAAAAGGTGTCAAAAACCATGTGGCTGATCACTTGAACCGATTAAGGACTGATGATATACAAACCAAAACAATATGAGAGACATTCCCCAATGAGCAGTTGCATGTGTTACAATCCTCTACAAGACCATAGTATGCTAATTTGGTGAACTATTTAGTCACCAAAGAATTCCCTCCAAGTTTGTCTACGTCCTAAAAAGACAAGTTATGAACTGATGCTAAATATTATTTTTAGGATACTCCTTATCAGTGGAAATTTTATGTGAATCAAGTAGTTAGGAGATGTGTACTACAAGATGAATTTCATTCCATTCTTACCTTTTGTCATTCTCATTCTTGTAGTGGGCATTTTGGAGTAAAAAGAACAGCCCACAAGGTACTTAAAAGTGATTTTTACTAGCCTTCTATTTTTAAGGATGCATATCACTTTTAAAAATCATGTGAAAAATGCCAAAGAACAAACAATATCACTTATAAGAATCAAATGCCTTTAATGAATATTCTTGTAAGTGAAATTTTTTATGTTTGGGGTGTAGCTGAGTCCTCAGGCCTCTAGTTGTATTTATGGTGTTTCTCCTTGTTGTTTTGCCAGAGTGTGATTTAATGCATTTGGAGTATTTAAGCTTTGTGACTCGTTTATGATAACATAGTAAATTGCTTAATTAATACTAGTTTGTGGGAGATGCTGAATAAAGAAGGAAAAAGAAGAAAAAAACCGGTATTTCTACGGCCTCTTGCTGACACGTCCTGTTCATGATAATTTTCCTAGAGGCTGGAGGCTGGAGGCTTGAGAGCACTGCAAACAAGCATGGTTTGCTATAATAAATCTAATCTTCAAGTAAAATCCCATAACTTGCAGGCAGCACATCTGTTCATTTCGAAAAGAACATGATTCTATACAGGAAAAAAAAGCATACAAGCACGAAATGCTTTTTAAAGATACGGCCATGGGTGTAGAGAAATTCAACGGGAATACCAGGAGATCGTCTCTAATTCTGTAACCCGATTACCCAAAATCTAACACTCCTTGTTCCTAAAACAAAATATGAAACAAAATGGCAACAGAACTACAACACACATAAAATATAAAAATCTCAAGTCAGATGCAAATTTTTGTACAAAAAACAGGATGCCGTTCCCAGGACGAGAATTCCTTTATCAAAAGAAAATAAAAAAATGAAGGCGATTCTGTCTCTGTTTCAAAAAATTGACTAAAGGGTGAGTAGGCTTTGGGCAGGCAATACAGCAAGCTAGCGGGACCATAACGAACAAGTGCTACAAAACTAGACCATTGAAGACCTGCAGAGTTAGAAGAACCAAGCATGTACAGTGACTGGGTGAAAACTCTGTAAACCCCAACAAACCAGCCTCAACTTTCTTCTTCAATGCTGACCAGCATGCTAGTTCGTTATGGTGTGCATGAGGTCAATCTAAGTCATTGAAAGTTTCTTCATTAATTCGTTACCTTGACAATGAAATCCTCGTCAACCCAGTTCCCAGGATTGTTCAGAAAGAATTTTGATGGTGAACAAAAATCACGTTTAATTGACAGGATTTTCCAGAAAGCATTCGGATTCTGCTCGTTGACCATCAGAAGTTGTTAGCTGGAATCGTACAGGTTTTATATCCCAGCCATGGATGCACAACGAATTACTAACTCTACGGCCCATTCTCTTCGAGGACCTGCCAAGCTGGAGTCTGAAGAATAGGCTATACGTCCCTTTGGAAATTCGAACTCAAACTCCCCATCTACTACAAACCACCAAATATCTTGAACATATGCAAAACTGTGTGGAAACTAAATCCAGAAAGAGGAATAATATATCAGTCAATTGTTCCTTCTAAAATTCAGAGTCCAAAGACAGAGAGACAACCATAAGCAAGATATAGATCCAGAGTTTAGATGGCCCTAAATAACAGAATTCTCTCTTGCTGGTCTGTTGTTGAATGAAATTAATAACTCAGAATGATTCATTAGCGGTAACTCAAACCAGTAAACTAAAATAAAAAAGTGGATATAATGAACATACTTGTAAGTGAAGGACCAGCAAAATGAAATTGAGTTTACTAATCAAAGCATTTAAAAGGGCAAGACGTATAATCCATATAAGAAGTTGAGATTTGATCACACAGAAGACATCATTGCTAAACCACCAAAAAAGGCTTATGTTCTAAAGTTTTTCATTAAACAATATTTCCACTGTATCCCATTGTATCTAACAATCTGAAGAAGAAAAGAAAATATATTTGTGTTTTATGAGAATTGTATCTCCCCTTCAGGGTGGAATTAAGGGGAGGCTAGCAGAAGCTCGGCCCCTGCAAATTTCTTTTTAAAAATATAACAAATAATAAGCTTTTTAATACTAAATTATTATTTTATTAGTTATGTTTAATTTTAATAGGCTAAATATCGATGCCTCTCTATGCAAGTGGAAAACAAAAGCTTTTTAATTAATTTTTTTCTTTTACTGTCTCTCTCCTTTTCTTTTATGCAAACCTAGCTGAAAAAATTAACAATACAAAGCATAAAAGTTAAAGCAAAGTTGCCACCAATTAATTCATAAAAAACAAAAAGGATAATTAGTAATTTAATTTTTTTTATATTTGCTAAGAATTTAATGAATATATATATATAATTCTGCTATTTTTTTTAGATCTACTAGTTTTATCATTTTTTATTTCTTGTTATAGTGAATGTTATTTTTTCTCATTAATTGAATATATTTTATGGGTTTGTTTGTTTCGATTATGCTTGGATTTTTTTATATTTTACTTTTAGCAGAGCCACTAAAATTATCAATTTTTTCTCATGTGTAGCTTACCATCACCAGGTCCAATATACAATTAGACACGGTCTTTCTAGCCAAATTGAGTTCTTTGAAAAGTGTATACCTAACTTTAATTCAATAATCCCATTTTTTTATGTTAGATATGCTTTTATATATTATTTTTTTTTAATATGTTAATTTTTCTTTCATATGTCAGTGTGGTTTATATGTAAAAATTTATTTTTGGTTCTGATTATTGCTTTAATACATTGTTATTTGTATTTATTTTTTAAATAGAAAACAATAAAAATTTATGATGTTTTGATTTTAGGTTGAACCATGAACAAAATAAAAAGAATTTATTTCTTTTTTGAGAAAAAAAGAAAAAATATTGATAACTCACAGCCTAGTGAATCAACTCCAATGTGTAATGTTGAAGTTATGGTTGAACAACCCTAATGTGCTTCAATTTATAAAGAACTTGCATTGATTAATGAGCAGCTTTCTATTAGAATTGACATTGCTCATTTGATTAGAGATCCAAGCAATCGTCCTTAAATTTAAGAATACTCGGTTAATCAACAAGATGAAATTAGAAGGGCATACATTAATTTGAGGTCATATAACCTTTGATGTCCGAATATCTGCTGACTGGTAAAAAACATCCTCGTCAATTTTAGTCTCATTGGTTCAAAAGTTATCCATGACTTGAATATTCAGAGAAAAATACAACATTTTGTTTCCCTTACTATCTATTTTCAAGTAAGTCATTTGGAAAGTCAGAATTAGACACATTTACTATTAAAGAATTCAATTGTTGGAAGAAAGTTAATGATAGGAAACAATGTGCTTTTTTAACTCATATGGGAAAATTTCCAAATTCAACTAATAGATTTGCTACTAAGTGCTTGGAAAATTTGAAAAATTAGTTATATCATATTGAGAAGGTAGTTAAGAGGCAAACTACTCAAGAAATTCTAAATAATAGATTGCGTATTAAAGCTTTAATAGATATTGTTAGTGGGCTCATATTTCAAACATGTGCTTTTAGAGGACATGATGAATATCCAGAATAAAAAAATCGAGGTAATTTTCTTGAAATGTTGGAACTTTTAGCATCATATAATGAACAAGTAGGTGCTTTTGTTTTGAATAATACTTCACAAAATGCTAAATACACCTCGCATCAAATTCAAAAGGAAATTTTGCATGTTTTTGCTAGAAATGTTCAATCTTCAATTCGTCATGAGATTGGTGATGCAAGATTTTGCTTAATTGTTGATGAAGCTCGAGATAAATCCAGAAGAGAGCAAATGACCCTTGTTATTAGGTTTGTTGATAGAAGTGGATTTATACGAGAACGATTTTTGGATATAGTTCATGTTAAAAACACAACTACTTCAACTCTTAAGAAAGAGATTTTTTTTATTTTATCTCATCACAATCTTGATGTTTAAAATATTAGGGGTCAAGGGTATAATGGTGCTAGTAATATGCATGGAGAGTGGAATGGATTGCAAGCTTTATTCATTAATTATTGCCTTTATGCATATTATGTACATTGCTTAGGTCATCAATTACAATTGGTTCTTATTGTTGCAGTTAGAGAAATTTTTGATGTTCACACTTTTTTTCATAACTTGATTTTTATTATTAACATTGTTAGTGTTTCTTGCAAGCGTAATGATGAATTATGGGCTTTTCAAGCAGCTACAATTGAACATTTAGTTGATATTGGTGAGATTGAAACGAGTAAAGAAGTTAATCAAGTAGGTGGTTTACAATGACCTGGAATTAACAAATGGAGTTCGCACTTCAAATCCATTTGTAATTTGATAAAAATATATGGGGCAACTTTCTTAGTTCTTGAAAATATCGCTTTAGATAAATCTACTTATTCTCAACGTGGTGATGTGGCCTTTTCATTTAAGTTGCTAATGTCATTTGATTTTGCATTCATCTTGCATATAATGAAGAATGTTATGGGAATTACTAATGTGCTTTGCCAAGCTTTGCAATAGAAATCTCAAGACATTTTAAATGTTATGCATTTGGTGACTACCACAAAGACTTTAATTCAGAAGTTAAGAGATAATGACTGGGAAACTCTTTTAGAAGAAGTGACATCATTTTGTAAGCATCAAGACATTGAAGTTCCTGATACGGATGCTTGATTTTCTAGTGTGGGACGATCTTGGCATAAAACAAAATCAATAACAGTTAAATATCATTATCGAGTTGATATATTTACAGCTATTATTGATCAACAGTTGCAAGAGCTAAATAATAGATTCAATGAACAAACGATTGAGCTTTTTAAGTTGAGCGCAACTTTAGATCCTAAAATTAACTATAAATTATTCAGTGTTGAAAATATATGCTTACTTGTTGACAAGTTCTATCCTGAAGACTTTTCTGACTAAGAAAAAACTCATTTGAGATTTTAATTGCAGCATTGCGAGCTTGATGTGCCCAATCATCCAAAGTTAAAGAATATGTCATCGGTTCCTGATTTATGTCAATGATTGGTCGAAACAGAAAAATTAATAATTTATCCACTCATTGACAGGTTGATTCGGCTTATTTTAACTCTTCTTGTTGCGACAGTAACAACTAAATGAGTTTTTTCAGCGATGAAGATTGTTAAAATAAGACTTTGCAATTAGATGGAGGATGATTTTCTTTTAAATTATTTGATTGTCTATATAGAAAAAGAAATTGCTAAAAGATTCACAATTGATATGATAATTGATAATTTTTACTCCATGAAAGAACGATGAGCACAATTAAATTAAATATGTAAGAATCATTCTTTATTATTTTTTATTTTATTTCAAATTTTTATCAAACATAAATAATGTATCGCTTTAACTAATGTTTCTTATATATTTTATATATTTATATTTGATAGGTAAAAAGTCCAACAAAATTAAAATGATGAATATATTATGAAGATAACATTAACCTCATAGCTTTGACTCAATTTGATATTGCTTTAAACTTCTTATCTTATGCAAAGATTGTCATATGTTTGTAGTTATTTTTTTGAATAGAACTAAATTATATAATTTTTTTATTTTTACAATTTATATATAATAAATTAAAAAAAATATCTTTTTATATTATTTTGACTCCTGTCAAATAATCCTACCTCCGCTCTTGCTCACCTTACTCAGTTGAAATGTGGTTCCAATGTCTTCTGTAATCAATCCCAGTAATGGCTAACCCCTTTGAAGAAATCGAAACAAAAACCCACCAGTATTTCTTATCGAGCCACATCTCCTGTGAAACTGAAGAGCCAAACCATCTAATCCTATATATTCTAATATTAAAACATGCACAGGAATTCAAACACAACCTGAATATTGCATAATACATCTTTTAAACACCATAGTTTCGTAATAATTGGTTTTTCTTGTATTATTGATAATTATTAGAATCTTTTATATTAAAAAATTTACCCGTATAAAACAATTAAAAAGATAAAAATTATACAAAAAAATTTCGGATCTTACACACCCTCTATGTTTTTTTTAAAAACTAATGGCTTAGGCGGATGATGCCTTGTTTGTCTGCGTTAGAAAAAACCCAAGCACGTGATCCGGATATTATTTTAGGCCATTCATCTTTTTTTTTTTTATTGTTTAATTTTATAATAAAATTATTTTATAATAAAATTATTAAAATAACATGTTAAAAATCATTCGATTATGCCACTTAAAAAAAATTATGGTTTCTGAAAAATAACTAATAATATTTTATTAGTTATTTTCTAAAACACACTTTAAATAAAAAAAATACAAGTAGGATAAAGAAATACTAAGTGAATATATCCTATTATTTTTTATGAGTTAATAATTTTATTTTTTCTCATTTATTTATGCCTGTTTCTTTCATCAAAATAAATAATAAAAAGTAACTTAGTTAGAGTTTTTTTATAATATTAAAAATTACTTTATTGTTAATTAATTATTGTTTTATTTTTTTATATTCCCGCATAAAAATAATTTAATTACTTTTTTTCTTAAGTTTTTCTAACAATAATGTTAAGTTCTTAACTATGTTTTTGATAATATATGTATAAACAAAAATGAATAATAAAAGGAAAGTTTTGGTTTAAGAAATACACTTTCTTATTAAATTTAAATCATTAGAGTTTTTATGATTAATTATTTTAATTTTACTAGTGAAATATCCTGAAAAGGATACGGCGGGTTTCATAAATGGACGAAAGTAAAATATGGACGAAGAATCCGAACCTTAAAAACCACACAAATTCCATTAATTATTACACGCTTTGCAGATGAGTTCCAGTAACAAACAACCATTAAACTACTCACGGGGGGAGCGCGTACGCGCGTGATCCTCAATCTCCCTCCCCCATATACATACTCTTGTTCTTGGTTCTCCATTGACCTCCCCCTAATCCCACCTCTTGAAACGTTTACTCGTCGTTACTCTTACGTCGAATCTTCTTCTATCCCTCTCTACAAAATACAACTCATTTTTAAAAATTGTATATATTCACACACACACACACACACACACACACCCCTCCTTGATATCTTGCAATTGAGGGGCTGGTTTTGTTTTGTCTGGTTTCAGTTTCAATGGCAATTTTATCTCCTTCTTATCTCACATTCAAAGCCAAGAAACTCAATCTCTACAAAATCACAATAACCATAATCCTATGTACAGTCTTTTATTTGGCAGGTTTTTATCAAAACTCTCGTGGCACTATCTCTATTAAGACAACATCATCATCATCCTCAAGCACAGCTTTCAGATGCGCCCCCACAAATCACAGCACCACAACGCTAGATTTTGGAGCACACCGCTTTGCTCAAGACCCAAAACCTCCGGTGGCGCGTGAGCATCACTTCCCGCCATGTGAGCCCAAGTACAGTGAGTACACCCCATGTGAGGACGCTGAACGTTCGGTGAGATTTGATAGGAATAGAGTTATATACAGAGAGAGACACTGCCCGGAGAGCCATGAGATCTTGAAGTGTCGTGTACCGCCTCCGTACGGTTATAAGGTGCCTTTTAGCTGGCCGGAGAGTAGAGATTGGGCATGGTATGCTAATGTGCCACATAAAGATTTGACGGTTGAGAAGAAGAATCAGAATTGGGTCCGCGTTGAAGGAGAGCGGCTCAGGTTCCCGGGTGGTGGAACCATGTTTCCTCGCGGTGCTGATGCTTATATTGATGACATAGGGAAGCTGATAAATCTCAAAGATGGGTCGATAAGGACTGCCATCGATACTGGTTGCGGGGTAAGTAACCTCTTCACTCTATCTTACCCTTGTGTTTTTCACTGTTTCTTGAAGAGATGGATGAATCGGGCGGTTTTATTGTTACTAAAACGTTGTTTCGATAGAGTTGAAGTCTCATCTTTATTATTTTTTGAAAAGGAATTAAAAATACGTTGTTTGCTGGTACCGAGCTGGCTGAGCATGTTTGCTTGATTTTCTTTGTTTTTATTTTTCTAATCAAGTAGCATTTGAAGAATTCTAGGTTTCATGCAAAGAAGGCGATCGTGAGTTTGCATATTGGACTAATTTGATGTTTTTCCTCTTTTATTATCATGCATGGTAAATCTTGGGAAATACTGTAGGGTTGTCCAATTTTCAGTTCGGGGCCTCATAATTGAATAATATGTATGAGGTTTAACCTTCATTAGTGCCCTTCCAAGAAAGAAAAGCCAGTAGTTTCCGGGAAGAAACTGTAATATTATGGGTCTTACTTAGGAGCAGATTTCCATGTTAATATTATGGGTCTGTTTTCTGAAAATAATTGATATCACACTGGGTCAACTATCCTCGAACTAGAAAGTCTGCTGGGTTAAACCCGTCGCCAGGCAGCTCACCAAAAGGGTGCCTTTTTCTTTATATTATAAAGCCCAAAATGGACTTGATCTTTCAGTGGGTCAAGTCAAGGAGAGCTTAAGTGGACGAGATTAATTTTAATTTTTTCTTCATGAAAACAAACGTAAAGCACAGTTTAATGGCGCAAGGTTTCTTAAAAGGCACCTAGTTTTGGAGGAGATCGAGTAAACAAATAGATGACAAGTTTGTGTTTGTTTTCTTTTTTAAAAATCCTTCAATTTCAAGTAAAGTGGTCAGCAAGGGATAATAATTTGTTTGATCCCAGGGAGTGCCTTTTGCATATCTAAGTTACCCTAGTAAACAATCATTAATTAGCAAGTCTCTGGAAACGTATTATTGCATTGTTCTTCGAAATGTTGTTTTTAATGTATTAAAATATTTATTTATTTTTTTAAAATTTATTTTTAATATCAACACATCAAAATAATTTAAAAATACTTAAAAAATATTAAAAAAAACAAATTTCAAAAAACAATTATCTCAATGTCAAACTCAGGTTATGTTTGTTTCATGAAAGGTGGTTTTCTGAAAATTATTTTTCAAATTTTTTTATGTTTGTGTATTATTAAAAATGTTGATTAATGGAAAATATTTTTCAATTAAAAAAATTTAACTTGGTTTTCAAAAAAATATTTTTTTTATTTTAGATGAAAAACACTTTCTAGAAATTATAAAAAATTTAAAAATGTTATGTTATTTGGAAATTTTAAAAATTTATTTTGGTTTTTATTTTTATAATTATTATTTATTTTTCTCTTTCATTTTCTTAATTAAAATTTTTTTACTTGTTAGATTTGATCTTTAATATTTTGATTATTATTTATTTTATTTAAGATAATTTACGAAATTAAATTATTATTATTTTCAATTTTATTATTATTTAATTTTTCAATTTATAAAATTTGTTCCTCATTATTTTTATAAACTTGAAAAAACATATTAATAAGTTATGTTCAATTTATTTTTATTAATATTTAAAAATATTTAAAAATTTATTTTTAACAATACTAATAAGCATTCAAAAATAAATTTATTTTTAAAAACACCATCCAAAAGTAAACTGCTTTTGCCTCAATCTACAACTCAAATTTCAACCTTCCTACGTAATTATATTAGTCTTCTTTTCTTCCACGGCATATGTAATTGAGTTTGATTTTTAAGAAAGGCAGCATAGAAATAATTATTTCACCGAATCAACCTGCCGCCCATAATAGTAAACGAATAATTGGAGAACCGTCCTCTCCCTCCTTTAATTTTTATTAGCTGTGTCAGGATTTTTTAACAAATTAATCTGATCACTGTATAATCAAAATTATTTTAATACACGTTATCATGCATTTTTTTCACTGCTTATAATATGTATTTATGTTGGCCATGATGATTCCCTTGTTCAATCATTTGACATTTCTGTTTGAAGAATTCAATCCCTTTAATCAATTATCGGAAATGAGCCCTCTTCTCTTAATTCATTGACCTCAATATGTTGCAGGTTGCAAGCTGGGGAGCTTACCTTCTCTCAAGGAACATTCTAACAGTGTCATTTGCACCAAGAGACACCCATGTGTCTCAGGTGCAATTTGCTCTTGAACGTGGAGTCCCTGCGTTGATCGGAATTATTGCCTCCATTAGGCTACCTTACCCTTCAAGATCCTTCGACATGGCTCATTGCTCTCGCTGCCTCATTCCCTGGGGCCAATATGGTAGTGCAGATGCTACAATTTACTTGTAATTTACTTGATAATGTGTTTTACATGATTTGATCTATTAATTTCTTGAGAAATGTTTTGAGCAGACGGACAATACCTTATTGAGATTGATAGAATTCTACGTCCGGGTGGATACTGGATTCTGTCGGGGCCGCCGATTAACTGGGAAACTCACTGGAAGGGCTGGAACAGAACACGTGAAGATCTTCGAGCAGAGCAGACTCAGATTGAGAGAGTAGCCAAGAGCCTGTGCTGGAGAAAACTGGTTCAAAGGAATGATATTGCTATTTGGCAAAAACCTACCAATCACGTCCATTGCAAAGTTAACAGGAAGGTGTTCAAACGCCCACTCTTCTGCAAGTCAAAAAATCCTGATATGGCATGGTAAGTAGCTTTCAGTTTGAGTTGACTCTTGTTTTTCCGGGGTTCTGATGTCATGTGCCTCAGAAAACATTTGATTGGAGTGGGTTGGGTTAGGCATATGTCATGTCATAAAACACACTGTCCCTTGCTTTTAATAATGAATTTACTTCTGCAAGCAAACAGGTAGTGACTCTTTAGTTGCGATGCTCAACATATACAACCACCTAAACTCTTCTTTTTGGGTGGCATTTTTCTTCCCTGCCTTCTCTTTTGGGCACTTTATGCTTTAATTTGGTTGCTGAGACAAGTAGCGAATAGGCGCTTTAAAAAAAAAAAAATTTGCCCACTAATTTCCTATAATGCTCATTTTCTTTTGCACTGTTTGATTGGCTTTTTTGTATTTTCGTTTTATAGGTATACC